CAAAACCCCAAAACCCCAAAACCCCAAAACCCCAAAACCCCAAAACCCCTTCAATAACAAATTAAAGTATTATGCAGTAATGAATATAAAAATATTACTGTAAATTTCATTATTGTATTGTAGTTTGCCACTCAAAATTGTTTGGCTATTACTTTTCCATTTTCTTGACCCATTTTTCGAGATTTGTAAACCAAGCTTTAAGTGAATTTGGTAATTAACTAAGAGCAGCAGTAAGTCCTAGCTTAGCAAAGTAACCAGTCAAATTAAAATCAGTCTGCATTAAGCATTCAAGCCTGATTCTACCATCTTCCAACAATTCTATTACATGAATGCCAACGATTGTATAAGCTCTGACAATCTTATCTTCAATTGGTTTAATTTTGTCATCAACTGAAGTGAAATAAATATATGTCTTGTTTTCATGTTCAAAAATTATTTTTTTCTCTGCAAAGTCTCTTTAACTGATGATGCTAATTTAAGATTTATTTCTCTGGTACCATAGAAGAATCTTCTCATTGTGTACTACATCAATAACATATGCCTTCTCAATATCCTTATCCCACTTTACTCTCTCAATCGGGTTATGAATTGCTGTAGTTATACTTTGAATATCAGCACCAACATCAAAATAAAAATCTACATAGAAGATGGGCATTTCTCTGCTAAAATCGCTGCCTTTCTACATATTATATTATTTAACAAAGTAATTAGATAGCATAAATTTGCTTGATAGTTATTGATTTATTCTTACCATCTTCCCATATACTTTAATCTTTGGTTCATCTAGCTTTATATCCCATTTATTATTTGGCTCAGGTGTCTTCATTTTCTCAATAATTTCAATTATTGTTTATTTGTCCTATAAACGTATGCATTGTTAATAATGACAAGATCATTAGATTATATATTATGACTTACAAGATGATTGAATGTTTCATATTTATTCTTGAAGTCCATTGGAACTTCCTCGTCTTTATCTTTGTACATTTTTAAAGGCACACCTATTGAATTGAAAATGCATAAAAAATGATTAAAACTAACTGAAGTAATTTTCTTCGAGAGGATCATCAGGCTCTACAAATACTACAGCCTCTTAAGTTGTCATTTATTCCTCAATGTATTTATTCAATATTTTATCTGAATCAGTAGCTAACTTTTACTTTATGATATCTTCTTGATCATTATCCAAGCAATCCTTTCCTATGTAATTTAATTAAAGATTGAGAAGTTTTCAAGAAAAAATTACTGCTTTGTTCAAGGCAAGTCATAAACCCTCCCATTCTTTATTTATATTAGTAAATTAAATTGAGATTATCATTTTAAATTTGTATTAAATAAGTTAAAAGAGGACCAATGATATAATAATATTCGTATTAATCATAACTGCTTTTGTTTCTGCTCTTGAGCGTATTTCAATTGAGTGTCCCAAGTTTCTCTTAAATTGCTCCTATGCTCTAGCATTTTTTCCTTCTTTCTTTTTTTCTCTTCATTAATTTTAATCTGGTTTGACTCTATTAACAACTAATCAAATTGAGAATGGAAGTTATTGTGGTTTTTCTAAATCTCTTGCTTTTCCTATAAAAATATGATTATTAAGCCAATGTTTTAAAGTAGTATTTTTTACCATAATTTATTTCTACAGCTGCTCTTTAAGGAAGTTTTTCTGATAGCCTTTCTAGTTTTCCATCTTCATTACATCCTCTTATCTTTCTTCTGGACCAAAATGAGTGGCGTAGTTCTCTCTTGACTATTCAACATGCATCATTTCTTTTTCATTCTTAAAATTTCAATCAAGAGAGGATATTTCTTACTTTGATTCTCATCTATTGTTTTAGGTAGTCCTTCATCTCTTCCTACCTTCTTTAAGTCTGTATAGACTTTTGATCCATAATCCTCTTGAGCATGTCAGCCTATTCTTGCATCATCCTTTGTTCCTAAGCTTTGTTATCTCTCTAAGTTTGGAGATACTCTTCATGTCTCTCCCTTGCTTGTTTCATAGCTGCTTCTTTCTATGGATGATCATCGTAAATTAAAAGTTTATTTCTTGGATTTTTAAATGGACTTGTTGTATCTAACAAAGATTAGACGACCAACTTAGTTCCTGTGTTCTGAAGGCAATTTAGCATCTTCTGCTAATTAAAGTTGTATGAATTGTTCAAACCGTTGGTTACCTGACTTGGACTCATTTCTGGGTTATTTACGCTTTCATTATTAGATCTATTGTAAGATTTTCTGGCAGTTAAATTGAAGTTTGAAGAAGTACTTGATTATTTTTTTATGTTATCCATATATTCTTAAAGATCGTTTCTCTATTGATGTCTTAAGTTCTCTCTATATTTTTCTATTTATTCTCCGTATGTGAAGGGGAAGTAATTGAATTGCTCATATTTCTTTTCTGATTACTAAGTCTAAATTTGATGCTATTTAGCAACTTTCTTTTGGCCATTAAAATCAACAAAATCTTATTTCATTTATTCTTGAGCTCTTAACCACTTTTCTCTATCTCTTCGAAGTTAGCCTTGCACGAAATTGATAAAGTCATTATCCTCTTTGAGCTTGTTATCTTTTTAAAATTTCTTTGTATCACTCTTGTCTCTCATCTGTTATAAATGTATCTCGAGCACATCTTTATTGCTCATTTTGTTATCTACATATACTCTTTTACCAAACTTAAAATCAACTTAAGGAGAAAAAGTAGAGGTTGTTGTAGACATCTGCTCAGGTGAAATATTTATAGAGTTATAGCCTTTCTCTCGAACTCCAAGAAATTTTTATTTCCCTTTCTGGGGATTAGGATTTGATATATGAAAACTTTCAGCATCAGAAGATCTATGAGAAAATGACATCGTCTCGCTAAATATTGATGGGGTTCTCACTGATAAATCTTTTCTATACATGGAACCTATCATCGACATGTTATCATAATCAGCCTAAGATTTTGAATAATCAGAAATTTGAAATAAATACCTGAGAAACCTGGCTTTAATTGTCTCTGATAACTGATTGATTTCGATGATTAGCATCCATATTAAACTACTTAAAAAAGATGTGTCCATTTCTCACAGTAAATTTTCCTATTTTAAAGTTTAAGGATATACTGTCTCCTTTCTTTATTAGTGTTGTCTAAAATTTAATTATCAATTGGACATTTAAGCTTACTATTGCTTTGAATATTTCTGAAAGAATAAGTTCTACTGTTTGAGAATCTGTTTCACATACTTTGGCTAATGCCTAAAAATTGATTTATTGTAAACCTTTGTAACTCATTCTGTAATTCGGCTCTTGACTGTCGAAAATAGTGAGATTAGGATTATCAGCATTAGGTAACTAGATTACATCACCGCTATTTGCAATAAACTAAGAATTAATGTGGCATTTAATCTAAATTTAGGGTGCTCCAATGCTCTAATTTACAGATCTATGATTATTTCTGATTCCATTAGTCCTTGTAAGGTTTTTATTGAGCCCCACAGAAAAATCATTTTTCAATGCAAGGCCATCACTCAATGATCGTCTATGTAATTGATCAATGACTGGCTGAAAAATTGCAAAATCTTGAATCTCTAATGGTTTCTTCAATGATTATACTGCTGATCTTATGTATTTTGTAAAGCCACTCCAGACCTTATAAAACATCTTTTAAGCTTTTTTCTGGATAAATGTTATTTCTTACGACTAAATTTAGCTTATTTACTTATCAACTTCCTTATCTTAGATAGAGGAAAGATTGAGTTCTTGCATAGAAGATGAAATAACTTGGGGGTTTTAGATTGCATAATGGAAAATCAATACCTCATTCAGTGACATTATTGCTTTCTATCAAAATATATTTTTATTAAATCTATTAAAATATTGATCTAGCTTGTCCCTTGCGGGGTTTTGGGGTTTTGGGGTTTTGGGG